TCCCGGGAGGCTTCTGCTCATGCTTACGATGCTACAGGGCGGCCATCACCTCTCTAGCCCTCCAACTGCCAGGGTCCACACGGCCGACTCTGTTGCAACACTTTGCAGTGGAGATGAGCACAAGTCTCAATGTCTCTTCCCTGCAAACCCAGGGCTGCAGTGCTGTGCAGCAGCAATGCTGCATGACCCAGCCTGGTCCCAGTGCTCCTGAGGGGTATATCCCACAGGGAACAGCCCATGCGCTCTGTGCCATGCCCCAGACTCGCGGTCAGGGTCCACACGGCCGACTCTGTTGCAACACTTTGCAGTGGAGATGAGCACAAGTCTCAATGTCTCTTCCCTGCAAACCCAGGGCTGCAGTGCTGTGCAGCAGCAATGCTGCATGACCCAGCCTGGTCCCAGTGCTCCTGAGGGGTATATCCCACAGGGAACAGCCCATGCGCTCTGTGCCATGCCCCAGACTCGCGGTCAAGAGGGGCCACAGGGTGCAGAAAGTTTCCCAGACTCAAAACTCTGCTCCAGTGGGACGGCCTCCCTCCTGCCAGCTCGGCTGCCAGCTGAGTGGGAATGGATTCCCACCACTCCTGTCTGTCTGAGGCTCCTTCAGGCCTCTGCCCCGGGCAGTACGGGGAGCAGGGGCCATTTCTGAATGGCGTCTTGCAGGGGGAGGCTTTGGAGGTGAACATGAGGCCTCTCCTAGGGCTGGATACCTTCCAAGAGCAGGGGTGTGAAATGAGGTGAAGAGGTGATTTTAGGAAAAGCAGCACAGCGCTATGAGAAGAGACTGTGCAGGAGGGAGGCACTGAGCTGAATTCTCCACGGGGACTGGCCTTGGAGGTGAGAGCAGCTCTGAGGACAAGGAGCAGCTGGGGTTTTTTGGTGACTTTCGCACACATTGCAGTGAATTTGTCCGGTCCTACTACCCTTGGAAGTGCTCTGTACTCTTCTCCTGAGAGAAGCGTAGCCTTCAGCAGTCATAGTTAAGCACTAGGCAAATCTCTTAAGCGTCTGAACAGTTGAAGGTTTTTTTTTTTTTTTTTTTGCATTGGCCCCTGGATTTCCTTGAGGCAGGATATCCCCTGCACTGACACCTCTGGAACAACAAAGCATTTAAGGAAGCTGCCTTGCCTTGTCAAAAAACGAACATTTCCAGCAGGAAAACACTGCCTGTAGCCCATTCAGAAGGAGAAACTCCAGCTCAGTAAGGGAGGGAGAAGGGCGTAAATCAGTTTCCTCCCCTGGGGCTATTCATTCCTGTGTAAACTAGGAGAGGGCTGTGCTTGCCTCTGCCTGGGCTGCTTTTTCTCTCAGGGAGGATGTGCCAGCTCATACCTTGGGCTAGAAGGACCTCTAGTGTCTTCTTGTCCCATGTTTTGGCCTCCCCACTGCAGCTTGGGCTTTCTCTGTCGAATATTTCCCATTCCTGGGAGCTCTGTGCTCCTGCTCTGACTTATTCTGCTGGCCTAAATGGAGGAGGTTTGTGCTAAACAGTCTCATACGGGTGCAATTTGTGTTCACTTTTTCAATGTCTGAGTTTTTTGGTGTATAAAGTGAGCACTGGTCAAAAATCTACCACTATCTTATGAAGTCAAGTTCTCAGATGTTAGGAAATGACCCCGATGAAAGGCTGAGGGTCATGTAACACTTCTAATTCACATCCCACCAAGTCCTTGCCACTCTCAGTGACCCGAGGCACAAATTGCTGGTGGCTGGGGGGTGCTTGAGGAATGGAAGGGATTTTGTTCAGAGTGGAAAAGGCCTATAACGCCATTCGCCTGCCCCTTGCTTAAATGGCAGATCTTTAATTCCTAGAGGGTTTTTCCTCCAGAGCTGCAGTTGTGTCATCATCTGATTTATCTACATAGGCATGTGTTCATTACAATGGCAGCTTGAATCTCCTTCCCGTCCGATCACCACTAGTAACCATGTCCATGGTGTCCAGATGGGTGATCTGAGAATGGCGATTTTGAACATGTCGTTAAGATGCTGCATGATCAGAGAGCTGTTTTTTTCTCTGTTCGGCACTATGGTCCTGAGTGTCCAAGGTTCTGTATTAGTAAAAACAATAGTGCTTGCTAACAGGCAAGGCTGTAGATGAGAGCATGAATTGCTAGTTGTCCAGGGGGGTGATGGCCTTTCCATCCATGGAGACATTCAGACGTAGCCTGGACAAGGCCCTGTGCAATGTGACTTCAGAAATTCAGTGCTTGCAGGATGAATTAGAGAAAGAAAAGAAACATACACCCAATTACTGCAGCAGTGAATCGAAACAGTGCTAATGAAGGCACCCCAACCTCCTAATGTGTGACAAATCAGAGTTAATTACGAACATCGAGCCTGAGGATTGGGATAGGGACGTATGGGGAGACTCAGATAAGGAGATAGAAGAATCCTCTGAACCAGTGACTGTTCTGCTCATCGAGACCCAAAAAATCTGAAGGGCCCCAAGGTCGGAATCCCCACACTGCAGTTCAGACTGCCCCTTATTCAGGTGTGGAATTAAGAGAACTGCAGACTAGGTTTTCAAGAAAACCCATGGGAACGGAAATGGAATATTTGTGGAGTTTCTTTTTCAGGTGGTAAAAGAATGCTGTTAGGGAAGAATCATTAGGTGTCTGGGTACCAAGAATGTTTCTAAACAAGAGGTTCCCAGATGATAATTGTGCAGAAAATCTCGCTGTCAAGAACTGAATGTCCAAAAAGGAGACAGAGGAGTCCTAAAACTTTATTCGAATAAAGGGAGAGTCCACCGGGCATATCCCTGTGGGGTCTCTCAAATTGCTGGGGGACGCAGCCCCCCTTTTATCCTAATTTCCCGACCGAGGGACGCCCTCTCCTTTTCCCCATTGGCCAAGGTACTCAGAAGTTACACCCTTCCCGGCCCGCCTACACCGAACTCCGGCCTCCCGCCATCTGTTCTCACCTGAGCTCACCAACTCCTTTGTCCCCCTTGCTGAAGAATGTGGGGCAATTGCCCTATTTCCCTCCTTTGTAAAGGCCCCATCTCCTTGCAGATGGCTCTTTTTGTCCTTCTGGGCTCATGGCTCCACTCAGTCTCCCCTCCCTTTGTCCTGCTCTTCAGCCAAACTGTGGAGAAACCCCCTTATTGATGAATACACAAACTTGAGCATTCCGCCAAACTGTGGTAATGTCCATGTTAAAAACTCATGAATATTTGCTGAAAGGCATAAGGAAAGAATTCAAGTGCGACTTTCCCCTAGAGGTGTTTTTTTCCCTGTATTATCTTATGGGGTGATGTTGCCTTATAGCAGCAAGGTTGATCTTTCATTCACATATATCTCCCCAACAGGCTTCATTGCAGACCTGTTTATTGCTCCTATTCCCATAAGTGCAAGGCTTGCACATGGGCCTGCCATAGAAAGGAGGGGCTCT